TAAATGCTGGGACCAGCAGTTAGCATAATGACTATGTTGCTGGACTCCCATGTAGTCGACCACAGTTTGAGTGGCTTAAATTCATGCCAGATGTGTGTGTGTACATGCCCGAGATCCTGAGAAGAGAATGGAGGAGAAGGGATAGCAGTGTGTCTCACTTTCTGTCTCCCTGTCTCTCTCTGTCTTTCTGGCGAGCGCATATGCCCTGTAGCAAAAACCTCTCAAAAAAAGAAATAAATAAAATAAAATAAAAATAGTAAATGCTAATAAAAAACGAAGCCACTTATTTTCTTACTATGTTTTAATGAGATCATTCTGATGAATTCATAAGAAAATGTGCTTGAGTGAAAGGTCGTTTGATTGACAGAATGTATTTTGCACTTTTAATGTTTTTTTGAATAAACAAATAGAACAAAACTGAATAAACAGAATAAATGAATAAGAAGGAGATGTGAGCAGAGGTAAAGTAAGATAGTTTTCTATCTGTGGGCTTCCTCATTAGGTATAAATTTTGAGGGATAATCTATACAAATTTCAGGTTTTTACTTATAGACAGAGGAAAAAGTCATAGTAGGATCTGAGCAAAGATCTAACATCAGAAAAATCTCCAAAGATGGCTAATTTTTCAAATCTTGAAACAGTCAGTATAATGTTGGTTGCCTTTTCCTAGGCTATAATATTGTTGTTCTTGAGACTTGAAAACACTTTCCATAAATTTGATAGCTGCAGAATGAAGCTGACGAATTTCTGAGACTGAAATGCGGCAACAACAACAACAAAAAATAGGGGAAGAAAACTTGTGGTACAGATAAAGTAAAAACCATGCTGAGAAGCATGAGGGATCTCAGTGTGTGAGGACATGTTTCATGAAAAGAAAGTAGCATTTGACAATTCTTATGAATTCTAGAATGGGGAAGTAACTCCAAAATGCATGTTGAAGACTTACTACCAGCATGTAAGAATTTATTTATCCATAGAATTCTTAGGACATAACCTGAAGTTATAGTATATTAAAAAAATAATTGCACAATTATTAAAACAAAGATGTATTTAGACCAAGTAAGATTTATTATTACTCTCTCAACAAAATAATCAGTATAGAGGAGACACAATTTATTTAAAGTGAAAATACCATAATGGAGAACTGATTAAC